TTAGTAGGGTTTCAGTATATAGATTATTGGAAGAAATATATAGATATAGATATAGATATAAATGATTATACAAAGTGAAGATTAAGGAGACTAGATGCTTTCATATTTAGGATTGGATAACAAGAAGTTAGAGGGAAGCATTTGCATGAATTTTCTCATATATTGGTTTTGATAAGTTGAGGAAAGTATCATTGCAGAAACACGTTCCAAGAAATTCACCCAAGATTTTTTTTTTCCGTATTGCTTCGGTTAGGAGAGGGGAAAATAGTGCAAGGAGAAAATAACCGAAATGAAAGAAGAGAAAAAGAGAAGAAGACAAAAAGAAAGGAAGATTTCATCCATTTCCTCTTCCCGTTTGCCAGAGCCCTTTGAAGATTTTTATTTATTTATAACTTTTTTTTTTTTTCGTTTCTCCCTACAGTAATGAAATTGCGCCATGATAAGCTGGTCATCATCTGGAGTCTCTTTTTGCATATCTCCATTAGTAGATTGCAACGATGGTGAAAATATTGCTTGGTTATGGTTAACGTGCCTTGCCTCTTCTCGCTCTCTCCCCCTCCCCTCTCTCTCTCTCTCTCTCTCTCTCTCTCTCTCTCCTCTCTCTCTCTCTCTCTCTCTCTCTCTCTCTCTCTCTCTCTCTCTCTCCCCTCTCTCTCTCTCTCTCTCTCCCCCCCCCCCCTCTCTCTCTCTCTCTCTCTCTCTCTCTCTCTCTCTCTCTCTCTCTCTCTCTCTCTCTCTCTCCCTCCCTCTCTCTCCCTCTCTTTCTCTCTCTCTCTCTCTCTCTCTCTCTCTTCTCCTATTGTCTCGTCTCCCGCCACTTTTGAGTCTCGCCCCGTGAAATAACACAGTCCACCTTGCCTCCCTTTGTACAATGAATCGAGCTACTTTTAAAAATAATTAATTCGCCTTCTCCCCCCTTTTTCCTTTTCCTTTTCCTGTTGCACGGTTGTGTTTTCTCTAACGTAAACATCCCTTGATTTTTGCAACAGCGAGTTCATGTTTTATTTTATGTATTTGCTTAGATTGATGTGTAATTTCCTCTTTGATTTTGTTTCGGGTTATGTTCTTCTTTGTTTCGTATTTTCTTGTCACATTCAGCATCCCAGGGAATAGCAAGAAGTAAATAAATAAAAACTGGGCGATTTGGAAGCTCTGTGCCATAATGATTTAGTTTCCCCTGCAAAATTCGTTTTCTTCTTAATGACCAATGATACCAGGCATTTTCTATGTTTTCGTCATTGCAGTTTGTTTATTTTCCTTTTTTCCGAAAAAAAAAATCTCACTTCTAGTCCCCTCTTCACTGCATTTCTCCTTTCTTCGTTCCTTATCTTTTTTCTTTATCTTCTCTGTCTGTCTGTCTGTCTGTCTGTCTGTCTGTCTGTCTGTCTGTCTGTCTGTCTGTCTGTCTGTCTCTCTCTCTCTCTCTCTCTCTCTCTCTCTCTCTCTCTCTCTCTCTCTCTCTCTCTTTCTCTCTCTCTCTCTCTCTCTTACGTTGAGCGAGCATATGAACAAAAAGAAATGAACGAAAAGAAAACAAACAAGGAAAGAACAATATCATATATGTATATGTACACACACACACACACACACACACACACACACACACACACACACACACACACACACACACACACACACATATATATATATATATATATATATATATATATATATATATATATATATATATATATATACGTATGATCTATGGAAAACAAACTTTCCTTGTTGTGTTTTTAGAGCATCTGTTGACGAGAGAGTCAATAAAAAAGTTTGTCTGTTTGTTTACTTTCTCTGAATCTTGGTTGATTTATCTACCTTGTTAACCTAGATTTGATAAGTTACCCAAACTTTTGATATGTTATGTTATTTATGGACTTATCGATATGTTTAATCATTTTTTTAATCATAAAGTTACCTGATATACACGGTACTATAAAAAGTAATGATCAAGAATATTATAATTTTCCTTTACTTTTTTTATCCCTGTTTACTTCCTCTCGATATATTTTCCTTCTCTCTTCCTCCCTTTTCTTCCCTTTCGTTCTATACCTTTTTTTCTTCCTTCGCTTTTTCTCCTCCGTTTTTTTCTGCGTTCTCATCCTCTTTCTTTGTTACCTAATCTTACTCTTTTTCCTATTTCGTTCTTTGTTTCATCTTTTCCTTTTTCTTCTCTCTTGGTCTTTCCCTTTCCCCCCTTCACCCTCCCTTTCCTTTCTCTTCCTTATTTCTTCATTATATCCTTACTCCTCTTTCTTCACCTTTACTCCCCCTTCCACCCTCTTCAGTTCTCATTCCTCCCTCCTTTGTCTCTCTCCACTTCTCTCTTCTCCCTACTTCTCTCACTCTTCACCTCTCTCTTTTTCTTACTCTCTCTCTTTATCTCTCTTTCGTTCTCTCCCTTTCTCTATATTCGGTAATTCATCTCCTTCCTTTCTCACACTTCACCTTTTTCCCCGTTTCTTCCTTTTCCTATTTTTGCTAATTCCTCTCCTTTCTCTCTCTCTCTCTTCATCTCTCTTTCCTTCTCTCCTTTCCTTTCTCCATTTTCACCAATTCCTTTCCTTTCTCCCTCACTC